TTCGACGAAACCATTTCCAGTTTTGGTTTTGAGAAGAACTCTGACGAATCTTGTGTATACAAGAAGGTCAGTGGGAGTGTAATAGTATTCCTAATCTTATATGTCGATGACATATTGTTAATGGGTAACGATATTCCCGCTCTCACTTCTGTAAAGACGTGGTTGAGCGAGAACTTCTCCATGAAAGACTTAGGGGATGCTAGTTATGTCCTTGGCATAAGAATCTACCGAGATAGATCAAGAAAGTTAATAGGTCTAAATCAAAGTACATATATAGATAAAATCCTTGATCGATTTAGCATGTCTAACTCAAAGAAAGGATCTTTACCTTTGACACCTGGCACGGTTCTTTCCAAGAGCCAGAGTCCTTCTACTCCTGAGCAGAAGGAACTCATGATGAAGGTTCCATACGCTTCTGCGATTGGATCCATCATGTACGCCATGATATGTACTAGATCTGATGTCTCATTCGCTTTAAGCGTGACCAACAGATACCAAGGAAGTCCATGAGAAGCACACTGGACAGCGGTCAAGAAATTCCTCAAGTATCTTCGCAATACTAAGGATGCATTCCTGGTATACGGTGGTGGGGAAGAGCTAAAGGTGGTCGGTTACACTGATGTTAGCTTCCAAACCGACAGAGACGATTCAAAATCACAAGCAGGATATTTGTTTTGCCTGAATGGCGGAGCTTTTAGCTGGAAGAGCTTCAAGGAGGATACAACCACCGATTCGACTACAGAGGCGTAGTACATAGCTGCCGCCGAGGCAGCTAAAGAAGCTGTTTGGATCAAGAAGTTCATTACTGAACTTGGAGTGGTTCCTAGTATTAATGACCCTATCTCGTTGTTTTGCGACAACACTGGGGCCATTGCACAGGCAAAGGAACCGCGATCTCACCAGAAAACCAAACATATTGTACGACGCTATCACATCATACGAGAAATCGTAGACAGAGGAGATGTGATGATTTGCAAAGTAGATATTGACGACAACATAGCCGATCCCTTGACCAAGCCTTTAGGAAAGCTAAAGCATGAGGGTCACACTAGGTCCATGGGCATTCGACCGATGCCAGATTGGCCATAGTGCAAGTGGGAGATTGTTGAAGTTGTGCCCTGATGGCCAACTGTTTATCATTATTCTATTATGTATAGGCAGATATAATATGTTTATACATCTCTTGCTAATGTAAACAAATATTATATTCCTAGATTTATTTTTAAAGATGTTTATCAGATAGTGTTATTCTGCTAATGAGACTAACATCTTGAAATAAATATTTATCTAAATGTCCATAGTCGAGTATTAACGAGAGTGGGATATCGTTAATGCATGTGAGACTAGTGTGTGTTGGATGTTTGACTTAGTCTCATGGTCAATGACGGTGTGTTCGCATCCGCACATGGCCAGATATTATCTATAGATAATAGAATGCCGGACTGACCCATTCGAAAGATGTTGCTTGAATTTTTAGTTCATGCTCTAAGCATCTTTAGCGCGACCACGGGTGTAACTATCCTTCGACTTAAAGTATTACGTTTTCTGCATATGTGAACCCGCATACTTTGATGCATTGTCCTAAGCCATATGAAATAAGGATGGTATACAGGCTTTGTTTTGGGTATGCCGCAGCGCGTATTCAGAAACGTAGATTACGTACATAGGATTTGTCACTACTCTTTTTAAAGAGATTAATGTCTTATGGGGCCCACTGATAAGTTATGACTAAGGAAATTGCATGGCCATGCTGAGATGCTTTTATGACGTCTGTTCCTATTAGTCGGACTTGATAAATCAGTGAATGACTTAATGGATACAAGTTGGATTTTATTAATCCCTTGCATTAAATTTAGACATTGAGACAAAGGGATACAGTTACACGGAGTCTGAGTCGTGGAAA